AAATTTTACTGCAGCAATCCATAGTATTGCAGCTTGTGATGGATAACAGTCGTTGTACAACACTGATGCGTTATATCAATATGATTGGGCAGATTGTTCGGAACTACTTCTCTGCAACCGGTGGAATGGTAACATTTTTTGCGCCCTACAATGAAGCATTCGAGCGAATCCCGGAATACATTGAGAGAAGGATTTTAAGGGATCGAATTTGGCTTGAACAAGTAATATTTTCTGAAATGAAGTTTCCTGAAATTATATGACTAATTGCCTTAAACTCCTGCAAGTCTTGAGGGATGGAAAAGCAGAATTAGTCCAGCGCTTGTACTTTTTATTGAATACCCAACTCATGTGCTTAGCAGATTATCTGGACGCAGTCATCTTCTGCATGGTTCATAGTTTCCAGTCTTACATCCTACCTCTATTTGTTGCTTCCATCATTGTTACACGGAAAGCGCTTACTGACTGAATCTCGAGCCAGGAGTTTAGAAACTGATTAAACTGTTTTCTTAAAATATTTATTTAGATCCTCAAATATCATATTGTGCCAGCAAAAGAGCTAACGAGTAGCGAAATTACTAATGAAACAATAGTGAACACTGTGGACACCATTCATCAGTTGTATTTTATACGAGGAGAATGGCCGAAAAATAATATCAGTTAGTTTTTTTTATATTTTTTATTCATCCGCGCAGTGCAAAAGTGCATATTGTGAAAGTGTGTGTGCGCGTAACATCTGTCTGCATATTTTGATTTCCAGCTGTAGGAAAGTAGTGAAGCTGAACTTCTGGCAATACAGCCTGCCTCGCAGAAGGACTCCCAAACGTGAGATGAGCACTGCAACAAGTCCGAGCGAATATTTTTAGACTGGTGGTTCTCTCATAATTTGCTTGGTTTGTGGATAAATCTTATAACACCAAAAGCTCTCAAACGCACAGTTCAAGCAATTTTAAAAATTTCGATAAGAAAAATTTGTAGCTTATTACGTTATCGGTGGTGGCGTTCGGGCAACAATTCTTGTGGATAATGTGGCCGCCGTAAATGGTATCGTACATTACATCGACCGTGTACTTGGTGTGCCATATAAAACACTATATGAGCATATGCGGAATGATTCTAGGCTACAGTAAATTTTACTTCATTCTGGTGTTTTTCAAAAATCGAAGATATATATTAGCGGTAATATATTATCGGTAATATATTAATATATTTGTATACTATATTTATTAATATATTTATATTTATGTGCTATATTAATATATTTGTCGGTAATATATTTATATGCTTCTAGAAGCAATTGTCTACACCAGCGAAATTTCAAATCCAGTCATTTTAAATGAGGCGTTATTGTGTAAAATTTTCCGCCGAATTTTTTTAATGTGAATTTTTTTAATGTGAATTTTTTAATGTGAATTTTAATTTTTTTAATGTGAATTAATGTGAATTTAATTTTTAATCTCAGCTTTCTTTAGGTGATCTGCAGTAGTTGTCTGTTTACACTGCGTACCGTCACTATTTAATCCAGCTCAAAACATTCCTTTCATTTTGCCGATTAGGAAAACTGGAGGTATCAGTCTGCAAACCGAGATAAATATCAGGCTTTCCTCAGAGACGCAGTTGACAACGTTTTCTTCTTCCGCAGCTCTTTGAGAAATGATTTGGCAGATTTTTGATCCTCTTATTTCTCTTGATGTTATCTGATCTGGAAAACACGAACTATGAAAACTAACGTGTTGAAGATGAAGGTAATACAAAGTGCCGGCATGCCTGGGAGAAAACTACAGACAGACGATGTTAACTGCAACAAAGTTGATAGCTACATCTATCCTAACCAGGGATTAAATACGCACCACAGCCTCCAAATCGGAGATCGCGTTTGGAAGGCTATCGGAGATTTCACTGCACAGTCGATGTCCTCAAAGAGTGAAACCGAAAAGATTGTGTCGGTCTCTTCAGTACTGCCATACCGAAGGCATTGGCGTAGGAATCGAAATGTGGGCACTGAAGAAAGAAAAGCAGTTGCTGGCTGTAGGGGAAACAACGGCAGAGCGAAGAATATTCTGTCTTCGCAATTACACATATAATCAGATTTTCCGTTAAAATAGCGATGCGGAAAAGTAAATGATAGGGCATCTACTCACCTTGCCGTCATCCGGTGGACGCCTCGTATTAATGAGTAGCAACCACGAGAAAGTGGGCGACCGCTCGAACGACGCCTAAAGAGACAATGCACATACATGGAACAGGAGGTGGGTACGGAATGGATGCGTGCAGCCCAAAAACGGAGAGCTTCGTACAGTGGGAGCATCTCTGCAAACATAGATTGACCATACCATAGCCCGAATAGTCTTGAAATCTTTAGTATAATTCGCGAAAGTACTGAACGGACACAGGAAAAGTCAGACAAACAAAAATTTTTTTTTCCTTTTTTGCAGTGAAATGGTGCTGGTGCATTTATCATAAGCAATTTTCCAAATATTTTTTTTTGGCAGTCTGTTCTGAAAAGTGGACCTTCGATGCAAAAGCCAAAATTTCTTAAGGAATTTGTATTTTTCTTTTGAAATTTGTGCTCAAAATAATTGCTGATTTTGAGATCATAAGATATTTTTGAGGACATCCTATTTAATGCTCCAGAATTTACAAATTCGATATTCTCTGGATCCGTGGCAAGTTTTAACGCCGCAGCAAAATTTTACGTTTTTTGTGCCAACGAACGAAGCATGGGATAAGGTGATACTTTTAACTTCTAACATATTTTTTGTTATTCTTTGATATTTCCAGTTATCCTATCAGTAGACAGAACCCGAAGATTCTTTTCTCAAAAGCCCTCATTTTTTATCGCCATTCTTTTAGTTTAGTCTGGCGTCTTTTTAGCAATTTTGTTTCGCAGGTGCCAAGTTCATTGCGCTACAAGTTGACGGATGGGCGGCACTGGTTAGCATTGCAATACGTGTTCAAGCGGCATATCATTCAAGGCTTGGCGCTTATGCACACCGATCTTCGAGAACGGACGTACGTGATGATGAATGATGAAAAAGTGGTGATTCGCCGTAGGGGACGATGTCAGTCGTATACTTTTATGCGTTTTTGCCGTGCGATGTTAGAGTGCTGCAACATGCAGCAAAAACGCTTATTGGACGACTCTGTCTGTATGTGTTTGCTTATTGTATATGTGTGCGTATGTTCGTTTGTTCGGGTATTTCTACTTGGAGATCAAGCAAACTTTGATGCTGAAATTTCTTCCAGTTTTTTCCCTGGACAAGTGTGACTCCAGAACCGTGATACCAACTGTCACGCACATCTTCGTCTCACCTAAAGACACGTGGAAGTTTTGACGGGAAAATTGCCAACTCGAGAATGAGAGATGCTGCAATGTTGGAACTTTAGTGCAATGTCCCCGATTTGCGCACGATCAAAATATTTCAAATCCAGCTCCTTGGGACCAACTGGGACTTACATGCAAGCATGCGCAGTTTCTGGCAGATGAATTGTTGACTAGGAACTGAAAAAAACTACAAGGCTGAAACTTTAGGAGAATCTTTTCTACCCATGTGCAGCAACCAGAAGATTTCAAATCCTATTCTTTAGAACTGCCGAGTCTCACATACGGGCACGTCAAATTTTGGTGGGAAAATTACTAATTCATAAATTTTAACTACCGGGATTCCTTGAGATTTTGCTGCAGCACGAAATAGTGCAAAAATGCTTGATCGCACCAGCCCGCATGGTGCGCGTCGCCATTGATATTAGTTGCAGTATACGGTTCAGTAATAATATATATAGAAAAGTAGTACCACTTTTCCCTTTCGGGTGGTTTAAATATGTAAGTGGAAGAAGCGGAAAAGTGCATACACTTTCTGCACGGAGAGTGCATCACATTCGATTGAAGCGAAGCAACAAAAGTGGAATTAGATTTGAGAAGGCACATCGGATATTGACTTCCATAAATGAATTGAGAGCATGTTTAGTTCGGACTGTATGGTAGAACGTTAGTTTCAGGTGAAAGCTATTTTGATCTACTTCTCTACTCTTCGATTACTGATGTTTAAGTCAGGGCAATGACTGTAGCAGAAGATACTAATTTTACTTTCCTGGGTATGAGTTTCTTCGTACCTGCTCTAAAGCAAAACTTTGTAACAGAATAATACAACGTTTGTCTTCCGAATCACTATACGCTCGGTTTTTTTTT